AATTACTAATATTTTTCTAGAATTATTAGAATTTTTTTGAAATTACTAGAATTCTTTTTGGAATTTTAGAGGAAAATTTATTCTTTTAAAAATTACGTTGAATTACTTAAAATAGAAATTAATTTGGAATTGCAGGAATTTTTTTAGAATTACGATAATTAAGTTGGAATTACAAGAATTAAACTAAAAGCAATAAAATTTTGGTAGAATTTTTTGTAATTAGAATTAGTTGTAATGACGTGACTACCCATAAACCAATGACGTCTCAATGTCAAAATGTATCATTCATAAATGTAAAATCGAGATTTTTAAGGATTTTTTTGAAAATGGCCGATGACCCATAACAAAGATATGAATTTTGTGCCTTACTTTATGTTCATCCTGTGTAATGTAAAATTTTTAACAAATAAATGGCCAAATAAACTGAATTTTTGGAGTGTTTTTTGACAAAAACAAACTCCTTGGTATCGATTTGTACTCCTAAAATAGCAATTGAAACTAAAAAAATCGATAAATTATTTGACATTATTTGGCAAATTATGTTATTATTAATTTGGTGTGTTGGGAGAAATCTTTTGTATACATTTTTAAAATAAATGGGATTACTCGTAAAATAGTTGTTTATATCCATGCTACATAAATAACTATTTCCTTAAAGTTAATATATTTTCTGCATAAAACATCATCAAATGCAGTTTTCTTACGGAACGTATGTGCTAATGCCCCAAACATGAAAGAGAAAGTTGCGTTAATAAAATTATAGCAAGCTTACTTCCTGTATAACACACCTTAGTTCAAAGGAAAGATTCAAAATACTCCCTTTTACATATTTAACAAACATCGTGAAAAGAATGAATGCATTTGATGATTCGTTACACCAAAAATTTCGGCTTTAATTGGGTTAACCACCGTTACAATGTAATTTGAAGATTCTGCGTTTATCTGCACGAAAGTCATCTAACTATATATACCAAACTGTAAATATTAACGGAATTCTTGACATCGGTGACATACCAGTTCTTAGACAAGAAGAACGATTCATACAAATATTTTTGACGTGTCGGTAAATTACAAGTACACTTTAAAGCAACTCGTTAATTCATACAAGCTATCTGTAATTAGTTTTGTCTTTACGATGTGTATATAACAGAACTGAAAACAACTGTACTAACACAATCGAATTCACTGTATTTTACCGTTTTTTACAATTAAATGGCTTTATGTCGATAGTTTAGTTAAAATTTATTATCGTCGTTACAAGACAGGTTGGTGTCTAAAATTTCGTTTAATTCTTTTTCTTTCTGTTTAATTCAGAGGTTGTGAAGTTGTTTTTTTTTTCTCGAGGTCAATAATCATTTTCATTATTGACCAAGGGCGTGCGTTTTGACGCACCCTGTATTATATTCAAAATAAATATACTCTTTTTCATATTAATGTGCATCAAGTAGGTTAGAAGTCTAAATGCAGGCTGATTCACACATAAAGTGTCATTAATGTCATTCAGAACAAATTGAATCACATCAATAATGACAAAAAATCTTGATGTTTGCTATCCTATGTTAATTAAGTTGTTAATTTTAATTATTTTTTGCTACCTGGGGTACAAAAATAATTTGTGTGGAAAATTGAGGTTAGGATTGTTTGAATTTTTGCATAGTTGCCACCTTAAAATGATCCCTTTCAACGACTACGTCGATGAAAACGAGTATATGTTAAACATATTTTTCAGCTGTTCTTTTCGAAATTCATTTTACCGTTATTATTAATATTCGAAAATACTTAAAAACTAATTTATGTATTCACATTCACACAATGTTTTGTTTTCCTCATCATGTCAGTTAAATAAATTAATGAGACTTTCAATACTGCATATTTGCATAATGAGATCGAGCTATCCAGACGCCAGTGCCGTGGGTGTTTTAGTCTAGTATTCTAATAAGATTGCAGAGGTGTTTCAAGATGACTTCTTGAAATATTTAACATGTCTCCCATTCGTTACGAAACGCGTTTATTTTTTTTTTTTTTCTTATAAAAATGCTTCGATTTATAGTAGGAGCAATTGTACTACTGGATAATTATTATTAATGTTTGGGACAAAAAATGCCAGCGGTCTATAAAAGTTTGACGTTTGAATTTGAAAATCAAGGTTGCCAAACTAAGAATTTAAATTTGACACCAATTTCAGGATAAGAATCACAATCATTAACAATCACCCTGTACATACATTCTCTATTTTTTTTTGGTTTTGGTATCAATTTGTTTAATGTCAATTTTTATTTTGTTAATAAAAAATACCTAATTAAAATTTCAATTTTATTGAATTTAAAAGTGATATTAAAGTTAAAAATACCTAACGTAAAATGTAATACTGCAATAGGTAGATGGTAGAGCAAAACTTTATTTATACAAGGTGTTTTAGAATTCGCGCCCCAGAGAACAATGTCATGTACTGTAAGATACCAGGAACATGGTAAAAATGTTATAAAAAAATTATCTATAAAAATTTCGGAATTATAGGAGTTTAAAACTTGGGCTTTGACTCTATTGATTTCTGTTGCAAAGATATTTTTTTTATGTTTGGACAAATGTCAAAATCATTTGACAGATAGAATTTGTTAAACATTTTTTCCATGTTCCTAGTATCTTATCTTACTTGGAATTTTTCTCTGGAGCGCAAGTTTTGAGACACTCTGTATACAGATGACAGCATCGTTTTTGACATATGTCAATTCTTTTGTTAGTTCAAGATTATTAACTGTCAAATTTTAAGAAATTTAT